CAATGGAAATTCAATTAAAACTTCTCTATGAATATATATTCTAAAATTTGCTTAGTGATTTCTTTTTAGCGTATTATGATTAATATCAGCTAGAATTAGACAATTTAGGATAAAAGAAACGATCTAGCAAAACCATGTTCCACATGTTTTTTTGAAAAACAAGCCTAAGGTTCTCGAGCTAACTTTTTATGCTCTACACGATGCACATATTGAAATCTTCGCGGCTGTGAGGTCATGTAATGGTGGGCGGACCTGAATGGAAGTATCCTAATATCGAGCGGCAGAACACCTAGTAGTTTTGTATTGCATAAACAATTTAGTAATTACAATGAAATTATTTTGTGTTCATTTCATGTATGTCTAAACTTTGCAAATGTCTAAACTAAGTTTAATGAACTTTGGTTTGTTTGGTTGAATAATCATTTAATTAAGTATCTTCATTCAACCTCAAGTGATGCCAAAACTGGATCCATATGTCATAAAATACATGGCCGATTGAAATTATCGAGGTGCATCAGATTTACTACGATTTAACAAAGTGTGTAGGTTCAACAATGTCCTCTTGGTTGCACAATTACGAATTTAATGAGTCCGTCAATCCTGTTGGTCTTCTATCTGTAATACTGGGAGAACTGGGACGTATAACTATTCAAAGTGATGTGATGCTGTGGAAGGTAGAAGAAAAAAAATGAATTTATACCAAATTTTAGTCAGTCAGGGTGGTATGTAATCTTATCGTTCTCATCACTAAAGGGAAGGCCATGTTTGTGTATTTATTGTTTTCTATGTTATGTAACCGAACAAAAGTTTTGGAGATGTCTTGTATTATATCCGTGAGAAAGTCTCGCAAAGCCTCATGGTCGATCCTTAGAAATGCTCAGATGATATCAAGGCAAACTCCGTTCTAAAACATCGAAATTTCTGTCTTTGTTTTGAAATCAGAAGAGATTTCTAGAAGGAAGTGATTTCATATTTCCCCTAATATCATCAAAACAAATTTGTTTTCAGAGTAATAATCCATTGAAAAAGTCATTTTTTTGTAAGTGTCATAAAAGCGATAGAGAAAGTTAAAGATTTCTATTCTAATACTTACATACCGATGCAATTATTTGGAATGCTTCCAGTGTCTTTTCATTTTTTCCTCAAAAAATTCCTCATTGATATTCCTCAAACATTTGTAATACTAAAACTACCTCACTAAACAGAGAAAATTACTTATTGTACAGTTCAGAGAATTCTTCTGCCATGTTTTTCTTCTCTCTCAAGTAAATCTGAAACATGTACATTAGTATGTGATTAGTGATTTGAGAGAAGGAAACCAGTAGAGATGAATTATTCATCTTCTGTTGATTGATCATATAATTAATGTTAATCATGTTGAGTGTGATGAGAATTTATTTGTGAGGCATAAATATTCTCTTAAAATAAAGATACTGATGCGGACTGTTATGTCGGTAGTCTTTGCATATCACTTGTCTGAGTTTTTATGATGAGAGAAAAGTGGGCGCTATATTCATGCTGAACAGTAACCTTAAGCAGTGTTTCTACTCTTAAATTTTCCTAGCCATTGCTAAACCTACAAAAGAGATTAAAAGACTCAGCATTATTAGAAAAAATAAAACGATTTTATTGAAAAAATCTAATGACCAAACCAATCAGATATTAACCATTTTTTTGAAAACTCAAACCCTTTCAAATGCAAAAAGAATGTTGTAGATTTCTAATTAAATGTTTTGGTAATAATATAATAATACAGACTCTAGTGAATAACCAGGAACAAAACTCTTGTTTCTTAGAATTTGAACTTGAAAACTTAAACTGGGTACACTTCTCTTTGCGGGCACAAAAACGTGAAAGCCATCAAGAAGCTAGAAAGTAAATTCAGCATCATCTAAGATTAATTACTATAGTGTGCGCTGTCTTGTGGAAATCTTCCAGTTGTGCTGCTGATATTGTGTGCAAATCTTCGTTAGTAGCAGTGCCGGTGTCTTTTAGTGGCGCAGCCACGGAGAGCTCAGTATTATAATGGTTTATAATTGTTAGCTTGTAAAAAAATATTCCTTACCTTTTCCTTTTAATGATAGATTTTGCATATCCTTCCATGATATCACGCTTCCTACGATCACTCGGAAGTATTACGTGATGTCATGGTTCGTACGATCACTCGCAAGTATTACGTGATGTCATGGTTCGTACGATCACTCGCAAGTATTACGTGATGTCATGGTTCGTACGATCACTCGGAAGTATTACACAGCGTTAATCATTCGAGCGTAAACCTAGATTATATGTCTATATAAACAACAAAGGCATATGCAAAATCTATCATTAAAAGGAAAAGGTAAGGAATATTTTTTTACAAGCTAACAATTATAAACCATCATAATACTGAGCTCTCCGTGGCTGCGCCACTAAAAGACACCGGCACTGCTGCTAACGAAGATTTGCACACAATATCAGCAGCACAACTGGTAGATTTCCACAAGACGGTGCACACTATAGTAATTAATCTTAGATGATACTGAATTTACTTTCTAGATTCTTGATGGCTCTTATACTTTCACTTGCAGTTATCATCGGTATTAGTCTTGCTCAAACCACATCAGGTAATAAGAAATACTTACTTCACAATATTGATTCTTTTCCATAAAAGTTCTTTTAGGTGCTTCTGTTCCGTTCTATCGTTATAGCAAAGGTATCTATGATCATTTCTACACAATAAATGCCGCTGAAATTGGTACAACTAGCTCAGGTCAAGTTGGTCAATATGGATATGTCTTTGAAGGTATCGCATGCAACGTTTATCCAACGTTTGGAGAACCCAACACCGTACCATTGTATCGATATGTTAGACCGGGATCAACGTACCACTTTTATACAACAAGTACATCTGAAATCGGAACAATTTCACCTGGTGCCACTTTAAATGGATATACATGTGAAGGTGTGGCTGGGTATGTTTATAAAACACGACAACCTGGAACATGTCCATTTCATAGATATTATAACAGTCAATATAATCAACATTTTTATACCGTAAGTCCATGTGAAATTGGTGTTACGGTCCCTGGTCTAGTTGGAAAATACAATTATAAGTATGAAGGAATTGCCGCTTATGTGATCACATCCTATCCATGTGATCAAAACATTGTTTGTTAAACAAAATACAAAACACTTTATCATATGAAACTCTTTTTCTCTTTTTCAGTAAAGCATATCAAGAATCAGCTAAAGGTCTTCTATAGCTGAACAAACGGTTTTCTAGTTACTTTTTCTTTTGTATTGTTCGCTTCTGTTTTAAATCAATCCGGTATCTATCCAAAGAATGCGCGTTGTGTGATTGACTAGTGTCCGGTATGGATACAAATAAATGCTTTCACGTTTTTGTGGCCGCAAAGAGAAGTGTACCCAGTTTAAGTTTTCAAGTTCAAATTCTAAGAAACAAGAGTTTTGTTCCTGGTTATTCACTAGAGTCTGTATTATTATATTATTACCAAAACATTTAATTAGAA